AACAAAAGTTATCGAAAACGCTTTGTTGTTCCATTCCATGAGCTCAAAGTGCTTTTTCGGCAAATGAACGCAAATTTTTTAACCTATCGTTAATATAGTATGGATGGATGGGCGTATTTCAAATTGTCGCTGAAAAATTATTTGGTATGTTTTTCTGCTAAGTAAAAGTAAAAGAAACCACGGAACTTAATCATAATAATCCGTTTTATGAAACAGAAAATTATTACACTTATCTAAGAAAAAGTAGAATAACAACTACCCTAAAAGAACACTACGTGTTATGTAACGCGGATTTGTAACGTAATTGCATGTTATACTACGTTACGTTAATTTCTTAAGGGCGACATACAAAATCTAACAGGAAATCGTGATATAGATATGTTATATGTACCATATGTCTTCTGTAAGTGTGTAAATTTTAATACGTGGCTTTGAGTGCATTGGTGAAATATTTGAATGTATTGGAGTCTGCGTTAGTCGTGTCTTGTAGGGTAGCGTTGCATCCAGTTTCTTCAGCAGACTTTTGGCAAATAATAATCGATAGTCACATGATTCCTATCTAATTAAAGGTTATATTTTAACGCACAAATATTGTTGAACATTTCCGCTGGAAATACCTATTGTAGGATCTTACTTTTTGACTTTAAATTACAAGAGAAGGGGGACGTAGGGGAACAGTTTTAACGTAGCATCTCCACAGACAAAATATTGGCTACAATTTGTAATTTTGTTTGCCCAGATATACGTTTTATCAGTGCAATGCACAACATGCGCATTCGCATAAGCTCCGCATTGATTATTGCGAATGCGTAAGCGAATATTCGCAACAACCCTGATACATACCTACATAAATACCTACGTATGTTTGCTTTATGCACTAAATACTCGTGCCGTTGTACGCGTACTAGACCAAAATGCGATAAACTTGTCACTAAACTCGTAAATTCTAATCTTGTTTTGATAATTGCTAGATTAGTTAATGCCGGTGCAATAAAATAATACATATTTATGTTCGTTTGGCCATAAGTAGCTGTGATAAGGTTTTCCGTGTTTTGCTTATTATGCACTACAGATTTCGCCTCAGAAATTAATTTCGATAACAAGTTCAATAATTGGACAATAAAATGACTGAAGAATTTATTTAGCGAAAGAATTTCCCGAAATGTAGTAAGATATATGTTTAAACTTTAAAGTATCAAGATACAGCGTATCAAGACGATATGCATGTATATTATAGTATTATTTTTATATGGAAAAAAAAAAACAACTTTTCATAGAAATGGTATAGAATTCTTGAAAATCAATATTTTTCGAACGGAAAACTCTGGTTATCTTCAGGAGACTTTCAGTTATAATACCCAGTTGTTTTTTGAACCATTTTTTAATACCAACGATTTTTTATTGGTCCCCCTTCAATTTTTAAAAATATAATAATAATAAATATTAAATTTTTTTAATCAAAATTTGAATTTTGATGAAAATTGTTTAAAGTTTGATTATTAATATTATTTTTTTTTAATTTTTACAAAGATTGCAAAACTTATTTATATGGGAAACGTTTTTAATATTGTGAAAAAACTAAATTGCGAATACTTCTGTGAGTGAATGTACGTATTTATGCATTTATTTCTGCTGCAATATTCTCACAAAGTGCTACTTATTGAAGAACGTTGATTTTGAAATCTTCCTAATATTAACATTTTGTATTTATTATATTTATTTATTCATTTTAAAATATAACCTTACAAGCTTTCGTTGTCCGCATTGCCATTGGCTTTAAACAAGGCGAACGGTTGGTTGGTGCATGTCCAATATCTTTGCCTCGAAAATCCTATGCATATATGTCAGCATATGAAAATTTTGTAGTTGCAAATAAGCAAGCAAAAACAAAGTAAACGTTCGCTTTTTTTTCTGGAAGTGTATTCGCCAAATATTTGTAATAAAATGAATTTTCCATGCAGCATAGTTTTTGTATGCAGCTTTGCAATAAACTCATGACAAGCAATGACAATATTGACCTTCCCGTGTAATACTCGTAAATCCAAACAATTAAGTTCTAAGCTCAAAATTTAATAAAATCAAATGTGATAGCTCATAACCTAAATAAATAAAAAATGCTTCAAATTTCTTAAAGCTCAAGAAAAGAAGTGTTGTGCCTTAAATTCTACAAAAGCTTTAGTAAGCTTTTCAAGGCGCCAACTATTAAAAAGCAATACAAGTTATTAAAATAAAAAAGGACAGCAAAAGAAACTACAACAACAGCGTTCGTAGCTGCTGCCAGAAAAGTATTAATTTCTAATATGGCCTACACAAGCAAAAAAAAGGCGCAATGTCATGTACAGTGTCGCACAAAAGTATAGTGAAGAGAATAAATTAGAAAATTTTTTACATTAAAAAAACTAAGTGGTACAAGGTCTTTGGTGCTGGTGTCTGACTTTAACGCGATTAGCAAAAAAAAAAACAAAACACAGAAGCTGAAAACAAAAACAAACTCGCCATGAAGCGTACATATGTTTATACTTCTCTGGACCAACAGGCAGTTTGTGCGCCTAAAAGCAGACCTCGCTGGCTGTGCTGTTAGCAACATTCTAGGACATTTGTCTCAAAAAAGCAGCTGCAAATATTACTTGCTTTGAACTACTACAACTTTTGTGCATTAATATTGTAGTTGTAATTTTTTATTTTTTTGTTTTGTTTTTGTAAACAAAAATTGAGTAGGCAACAGTGTCTAATACAAATATTTGCTACACAATTTTCGCTTTATTTCCCTGCCTACTTGTGCGCCCACTTTCAAGCTGCTTCTCTCACTTTGCGCACAATTGTCGCTTGACCGAGCAGGTAATCCTTTGTGAATTGTAAGTTATACGCAAGTTAGAGTTGTAAATTTCATATTTGATAGCCTCCGGTGTACTTCGGGCAGCGCTGTGGAAGTTTGGGAGCAAATAGTAGGTGTGGGCATTTGATTATGCACTCAGCTAATTGGTTGCAGAAATTTATTGCTATTTTAATGTTTTTAGTTTGCGCAAAAATTCTGCTTGATGTAAGGCGACAATCAAGGCTGCCTTGTTTTGGTGATAAATCATTTAAAGAAAATAAAACTTTTTAATTTGAACAAGCCGACGTAGTGGGTAGGGCACTAAAGTCAATTCGCGTACGCTGGATTCAGTGGAGATACTTAGTAATTTTTCTAGGGTTTAGAGCGAAATTTTACCACTTCGGTGGCTCGGAAAATTCATATTGGAAATTTTTTTTTAGTGCGAGGTACAGATTTCATACAAAAAACATCAAAAACATTACCGAAAACGGCCTAAATCGTTGAAAATGAAAAAATTTATAAATATATTCGGTTATACATATTCTTTGGTCATTTCTACCAATTTATATGCCGTACCAGGAGCTAATTTTTTGGGGATTGTTTTTTTTTTTCAATCAAATAAAAAAACTAACTAAGTATGAAGTCATTTTATTTTGAAAAAAAAGTGTAATTTTCATAAAAAAATTTGAAGTTTTTACTCAAAATCGAAAAATAATGTTATGAGTGGTATATTTTTCTCTTTTCTGATTCCAATAGAATTTTTAGGAATGCATTTTTACCAAAAAAAATAAAATAAAAATAAAAAATTAAATGTTTTTCTAAAAGATTTGGGATCATTTTGAAAAAATCAACGTTTTGGCCGTTTTCGTTAATTTTTAGATTTTTTACCTCCCTTTTATTAACTCGGGATGTAACTATGTAATATTGATGCGCCTGAAAGATGCAGCGATTTCTATTCTAAAGTTACATACCTGATGACAGTACGAATGGAAATTATAATAGCGAGGTTTTAGTTTTTCAAACAATAATTTTATTTGTGTATGTAAGCTGTATTTAAATTTTGCCCCAAAATTTGAATTTGACATTACTCGATTAAATGACCTAGCCTATAAAAATTACTATTAGCACTGAATTCAGCGTACCTCATTTGACTTTATTAGGTAGGTCGTCTGGTTGTGCATTTTTTCGACTGGGACAGTGTTACAAATCTAGACATATTCATATCACCACATCACCGCACTACGGACAATTTTATCCATTTTCGTGGTCAAAATTAATTATGGCCAAACAAGTATATTATTTAACAAAACATAAGTTTTTTATTGATTGGAATTCGATTTCCCACATTTTTGCAAAAAAAAAAAAACAAAAAAAAAACCTTAACCCTTGCCGACCAAAGGGTTTTTAATTTGTGGTTTCATTAAAAAGGTTTAAATTCAGGTTTTTTTTAATACTTATATTGAAGAAAAAAATTCCACATAGTTAAAAGCATATTCAAATATATTATTTTTGAGAAAATTAAAATTAATTAAATGATATATCAGAAGTATGTATTTTTCTCTACAAAAAAAAAATCTCCAAAAGAAAACAGTTGTAGATTTTAAAGTACTTACTTTTCTTTTTATTCCCCATATTTTTAGTATTTTTTTAGATAATTATTAACTTAAATATGGTTGTTCGAAAATAGCTAAAAAAACAGACCTTTAGGTTTGCTATGGGCTCATGACTAATCAATGCTGGGGTAATGTGGCTGACTTGAAACCCTTATACGGAGTCATCCACTAAAACTTGTACTTTTACTACGTCATGGTTACGCTTCTAAATAATCCTTTCACTCATAACCACCATAGCGTTTCGACATCACCATAACAACCAAGCAACCAATTGCTTGATCAATAACAAGGCGAGTTCATATAAGGTGGTGTTGCTAGAACAGCTGCTTTAATTCGCCTCGGCATACATATGTCAAAACTACTTATGAATGAGTAGGAAGGTAAGAGTGTTGACAGTTTCTTTCCCCCAAAATTTGACATTTGTGTACCGAAAGCGAAAAGAAAATACATGTTAGTTTTTGTTTTTGTACTACCGCTACCACCTTATATGAATTCGCCTTGATCAATAAGTTCGGCAACTTCCACCTGCCTGTAGTTGAACTACTTGTATAGAGTGCAAACAGAACAAAGAAAGTAAACAAGAATTTATTGACTTGATTTGAAAAGTCAGGAAAGAAGCAAAAAGCGTACGAAAAAGTTCAATTTTCTTAAGAGAAAAATTCATAAAAAACAGTCACGCAAAAAATTCGCAAAAATGTCGCTTTTCGAGAATCCTGATAGCATACGCATGTTGCGCGATTTACTCACACCCCCCGAGGAGCGAGACAATTCTGACACCGACAACGATGACGAGCCAATCGCCAGACGCAACAATTTCAGTAAGTGTACGAAGAGCTGGAAAAACCTGCTCGAAAAATAACCGTAAAATCCACAAAATTTTGTAAATGACATGGCAATTTCTGTAGCGCCCGCAAATATTGGCAGCAAATGCAGTGGAGAAGACAAACAAAACCAAGCGCGAACGGAAGCACTGGAGCGACCAGTGCCAACCAGCATCGAGGAGTGGCAAGAGCAGCAGGAGCGGGAGGATGCTGAGATTTTGGAGACACGCAAGCGACCGGAGTACAGCATGACCTATCGGCAAGCGGTGGGCACCGAGGACCTTTACCTGCGGGTGGGTACAGCCAGGTGGACAGTATCTAGTGTGTTGCACATATGAACTGCTTGCTGTGTTGGTTTTTATTTATCGTGTTCTAGCTGCCACTACTATTTTTTGCCACACAACATTCTTGTTTGTGTCTCTTTCGATGCATCTAATAATTCGTTTTTTCTTCTTCTTCTGCTCATCCGCTTTTTTCGCCCGCTTTGTTTGCTGGTCACAGATGGGCAATCGCACTAATGCCACGGCCAGTTGTGAGGATTTGCTGCTGGATATACTGCTGCCCGACGAGACGACACNACCACCTGTGTGGGCTTTGCAGCGGCTTAATGGGTGAAGGGTAGCACTTTTGGGAGATTATTTGATGCAAATGTGATTTAGGCTAAAGTTGGTTGGCTATTTCTTTGGTGCTGTGCAGCTGCGGTTGAGCCACTACGAATTCAAAGCGACCTTGCTCTCAATGCGGTGAAATAGACAACTGGTTTTGGCGCAAACACAAATGGCATGCGAAGTGTAAATAATTGTGGGAATAAGGAAAGCGTAATTTGGGTGCTAAGTTGTTCGTTCGAAGGATTTCGTGCAGCTGTTAGCTTCAATTTGTAATTGAGTATTCTGTTAGCGGAAAAAGTCAAGATATCAAGCGTTCAATTGGAATCATTGTAGTGTTGTAGTGTACAGAGGTCCGAAACGCTAAACACAATTTTTTCCGGTAGACTGTTTAGACAGCATTTCTGATTATTAGATTATGTTAAATAATACTAGCCTAATTTTTAATGACGATTTCAAATCTGTGATTGAAATTTCTGTATTAGCTCTAGCTTATGACACATGGTGTTTCGCATTTTCGAGATTTTTTTTTTGGTGTATGGAAGAATCCATGGTGAATTCGACTTTGACCTCGAATAACTTTTGACCGAGTTGACTTATTGAAAAATGACATCAGAACTTTTTTGTTCAATTCTCTACAAAAATTCTCCTTTAGAGTACAATGTATCGTACGTTAAATATAATAATCAGAATTAGAAAATAAACAATTCTAAAAAAAAAAATTTTAGCTTGAAAAACTTTGTGAATATTCAAAAATTAAATCATTATGTAAAACCTTGTTTGCGTAATTATATTAACTAATCGAAAAGCATGTCGATAAAAAAAAATATATACTCATAATTTCGCTGATAGACAAATCAGATTTATTACAATTTTATTAATAGGCAAGGAAAACGAAAAATTTTTCAATAAATAAACCCTCATGTAACAATGACAATACATAATTACATATATCGGTAAATTTGGTAAATATCAATAAAAGAATGAATTTGATACAAAATTCAATAAAAGCGTACATCGTTAACGATAGAGTGCGTTAATTAATCGACAAAACTATCAACAAATGACTCCTTCCCTTAAGTAGCTCCCAACATCAAATTTGCGCCAAATAATCGTCACGTCTTTCCGCTTAAGCAATGTTTTTTTATCGTTTTTTGTGTTGTATTTTAAATTTTTTTTTGGGTTGCATGCATATTTAATAACTCCACATTGTTACGAAACATATAATTTATTTATTTATTTAGCTATATAACTTTTGTACAAAGTAAGACCCAGTCTTTAAAATGACTAAATATAAGTAAAGGCTCTGAGTAGATAGACGGCGGAAGTATATTTGTTGCTTGCTAAGAAAAAAAATCTTAGTTGTTAACTTTAGTCTTATCGTGTTTTTCCTCGCTCATTTCTACAAATATGTATATATCTTTCTTTGTCAAACTCATTCGCTTCAAAAACATTTAACAGCTTTCAAGCTAAAAATTGCAATTTAATACACAGAGCCCATGTATAAATGTTTCGTATATAAGTATGCATGCATGTAGGTATGTATGTGAAAAATACTCCATTCACAACTAAATACAAAAAATAAAACACCAAAATTGCTCCTA